TTGTAGAAGGGTTCCATAGAAAGTGGTGATGACCAATACGCATACACAACAAGCCATTACAAGAGCCCACGATGCCATGAATGTGTTCCTTCAATGGGAATTCATGGTTGGTCACAACAAAATTGCTTGGCTCTTCCAAGTCTATAGACATGTGAGACTCGGAGGATGACACAATGAGCCGATGGTGAGCATGGTCCTCCAAGTGCTTCTTGATGAAGTCCGAACCGTTTAGCAAGTTGTTCCATTCTCTGCAAACACACCTGAATCGAGCTAGAGACTTGATGAGTAGTAGCAAGAGAAGGTCATAGATGATTTCGTTGGGGAGGATGCATATGGGCGGTTGTGGCGGGAATTTTGTGAACCACTTTACTACCATTCGGATTTCATGGCTTTCAACTTTACTTGGCATTTCTTTTACGTGCTTCTTTCTTTGTAGGTGTGTCAAAGAATTGGACTGAGGGTTTTCATGGACTTCCTTTCTCTCCTTGGTTTCGTGATTCGAGAAATCTAAGTCCTAACCAAACGAAAACAGGAGAAACCAAGTCACGCAATACTACTATACTAGTAGTACCGATAAAACCTCATTACTTCACTTCAAAACTCTCCATTTCTCTATTGTTAACAAAAATAAAAAAAATAAAATAAAAAAATATGAAGAGTTTCAATGTAAGTATAACTACCGAGGTACGTATTATATAATTTAAGGTAACTTGAGAGTTGTGATAGGCCAAGTTCTATAACAAAATTGCTCTACAAATGGACTCTTGACATTTCTTATTGATAGATACCTAAACTCTATCAGAATCCTAATTTTTTTTTTTTTTTTTGTCAGATGCATAATACTGTTTCGTATATTAGAAATACCTAGACTTCTTTTCACTTTAAACTACCTAAATAATTTTCGGTGTTTGTTTATCACACTAATGTTATCTAAGATTTTTCTCTAATTAATATCATTATCCAATTTCTTTTTTTTTTTCGGTGTTTCTCCCATTAATGTTATTTAAGATTCTTCTCTAATTATTATCATTATCCAAGTTTTTTTTTTCTTTTAGGCAAAGGGATTCGTACACCCGCTTGGAGAGCTAGGCAATGTACTAGATAGTGCCCATCATTATCCAAGATGATATATTTAATTCTTTGACTTTATGAATGAGGAAAAGAATATCTGATCTCAAGTGATTTTTAGACATTTATTTCAAACTAAAACTGCATTTACCTCCTTGACTTTTATCATTTTGCAATAAATCCCTTTATTATTGGGTTTTCATTGTTGGGTTATTTGGGATTGGAATGGGCCACAAGGTCACCAAAAGAGCTCAAGATTGGCAGAATCTTGACCAAATTGAAAATGCATTCTAAAACATATGTTGACAAGAAGAAACTCTTAGCAACTTTTCCTACACTTTGAGAAGGATAGAAAAAACCAACCAACCAAGTAGCTGAGAAAAGACTTGCATGTTTCTTACCGTTGTTGTAGCTAGTCGTTGTCTTCATCTTTTGCTCACTTATGGTGATTCAAGACTCTCCATATAAATAATTGAATTAATCCGAAATCTGGTGTCTATATGCTTCTTAAATGTCTCTCTTCTTTGATCATACATCAACATTTCGTTGCCTGATGTTTGCATCGCAAGTTCACCATTCTTCGTTAAATATAAGGGCATCTTTCTAGCTGTTGCCCATTGAAAAGGCATGGTTATTATTGTCCTAAAATTTGAAGGCATCGTGATCGATCAATATATTCCATTTACAAAGATCCCTCTTTCATGGAATATAATATTGTAAGGGAAGTCTTGAATTCTTCTCTAAGAATCCGATTTTCCGGAATAGACCTCAACTTTTGGTCTTACTATTGACCATCTGATCGATGTCATATCCTCCAATAGTGTTATCGGTTTCACCTCTAAACAACCTTATAGTTATAGTATCATCAATGGACACGTCATACCCAAGTCCATAAATATCTATTAAATGATGGTAGCTGCTTATATTTTCTGGTAGAAGGCTTCCATAGAAAGTGGACGTCACCAAAACCCATACACAAGCCATTACAAGAGCCCACAAGCTCACGAACTTGAACATGTAATAGGAATTCATGGTTAGTCACAACAAAATTGCTTGGTTCTTCCAAGTCCATAGACATAAGGTACTTGGAGGAGGATGACATATTCATGATGTTGTTTTTAGCAGAACTCGAACAATTAACCTGTCTTGTAGAGGTTTTTTTTTTTTTTTTTTTTTTCTCCTGACGAAGAGGGGGAGGGGGACTCTAACACAGACATACCCGCTCAGAGAATTAGTTAGTCTACCAACTATACCATTGGGTAATGCCCCTATCATATAGAGGGCATAGCATTTGAATTATTAAGCCACTTTAATGTCACAAGTACATATATAACCTGTGAAATTCAGTGGACAGTTCCGCCACTTCAAAAATAAACCTGGGTGATCAACTTTAGGCATATGTTAACTTTCTTTCATGTTAAACAATGCCTTTCAAGGACGACATTTGTTGTGTCATTCGCTCTCTAAGATGCTTTCTAATTGGTTAAGATAGATACATAGTAAAATTTCACTGTGACCAAAAAATCTAAGTTTAAGAAATTAATTAAACATGGTAAAACTAAAGATAAATTTTGAGTTAATTACCCATTAAGAAAATCAATTCACAATTTGAAATTTCTTTTATCATTTCCAACCTTTCCATTGAATCCAATGTGTGGTCTAAAAATCTAACTATTAATTTCTTTTATCATTAAACGATTTCTTCTGTCAAATAAAATAAAACTGAATATTATCACATAATTCATATAATATCACATGTTTTTATATATTTTTGGTAAATTCTTCTTAATAAGAAATGCTAATTTTGTGCCTATTAGACATCTAGACCGAAGAGAAAACAAATGTGGGGTATTGAGATTTCTTCCAATTTCAAATTCAAATAGCCGATTAGGTGCTCTCAAATATAGCATTTAGGATTTCATAAATTAATCATAGATAAGATTGATGCAAATGGTTTTGTACACTGCTGGAATTGCTTTGCAATCTCCTAACCTGGGAGGTGCAGCCTATTCACCATGTCCTTGAAACTAGAAATAATGACTTTGAATATAGGCAAGGTCTATTTATTAATATCATCATACTTGAATTTATATGGGTTCTACTATCAATTTAGTGTACCGAAGCAAACAAGGTCTAGCACCTAAGAACACCCACAAGAAACACCTCATATCAAAGACATTATTAACTCAAGCAACAGGACATAAAACATGTCTATGACAAACCGAAAGGAAAAAGAGAGAAGAAAAAAAGGAAGAATATTTAGATGATTGGATGTATTAATGAAGATATCTAGCTGATTAATTACAGTTTTCATCAATTGCATCATATTTTTTGAGCTCAAATTTGAAGACTAAAAGCACGAAACAATGAGCAGTTCTAGAAGGGAGCTTCACACAGACATGAAAACAAATTGATTTTTATTTGCGAATGGATGGTTCAATAATATTATCAAATAGATTCTGGATAAGTTGGCAAAAACCTAGCAAGCATGTCTACCTGCCCCAAAAATAATTTCTTTTCCATGAATTTTAAAAAATCATCAGACTCTATTTCTCAAAAGAGAAGAGATGAAAATTCATGGGCTATTCATAACAACCATATTCTTTTCTGGTTGACTACAACTTCAAGTTTTCTTTAGCTGTACTTCTTATATGAAATAGACCCCCCTCTAAAGTTTTGCCTTTCAATGGGTATAAGAGCAAAGTAAAAACTAGAGCTACAATTAGAAAAGGCAAAAACAAAAGGCTGAACTGAATAATGAGGGGTTAACAACACTGCTCGTAGACTATCATTCAAGTTAATTAATTTACTATCATGTCAGATTTCTAGAGAATTGTTTTTTCACCAATTAGAGGTTCTAATCCTACAACGCAGTGGCACATGGCCTATAAGTAGGGGTCAGTATAGCTCAAGCTCAACTACATAAGAGCTCTATCTGTTTTAGTTAATATAATACACCGATATAATTTAATCAACACGTTCCACCTCATTTAGTTAAGATTTGTGACCATGGCACATTTATTGAGCTCAAGTTTGAACTCGAGATTGGCTACCAAGCAAAACAAGTCAATTTTAACCTTTAATAGCATTCTCCAATCTAAAAGAAAAACTAACTACGATTTCCTAGAAAACATTATCAACTAGTGACTACTAAATGTTTGGCATGACATTCTGCAACTCGATGTAAAGAAGTTGCTTTTGACAACTTAATTCATAATATAATGTGGATCGTACCCAAAAATAAAATTTAAAAGATACAATGGCATCAAAAGATAAGCAACGACGGATAACGTATACTTCAGCATAACATCTAAAGCCTTATTAAACCCAAATGCTCCAAGAGTTCAAAAGTATAACAAGAGAACTAAATATTGCCGAAAGGAAGTTTTTAACTACATCAATATACAATTCATATACCATAGAAAAAGTCGAAGTTACAAAAAAAAATGAAAAGGAAAAAGAGGGAAAACTCCTACTCTTTCAATAGTTCACCTTCTCTGGCTTCTCATTTTGATATCAAGATCAACAATAATTGTAACTCCTCAAAGGTGAAAATGGAACAGTAATTGACAAAATAACAATAATAATAATTATAATATTATGTTACCTGCTAGAGCAATGATGCCATAGAGGTAAAAGTATATAAAATCAGCCATGTTGCCTTGTCTTTCCTTTCTTTGATTTTGCTCTTCTTTTCCTGGATTTGATAGCTCCACTCGCTTCCCCTAGCAAAACATTCCTTACAAGTGATTGTATCAGGAAATTTTGCTCCAAATAAAACTAGGCTCTCAGTATAAGCATCAGCATAAAATGAGTCCTCAGACAATGGAGACCATGAATTTGTACATCCATGAAATTTTGTTCCAAATAAAAATCGTTCCCCTTCAAGATCATAAGCAATCGGAGTTCCAGCAGTTGTTCCAAATACTACTTCACCTTTTCTTGTAAAGCCAGCTACACTCCTCAAACATCTTAATTTTCCGCATATCAATATTGAATTGTTTACTCCAAGACTCCGATATGCCATACTCTTTCATCACCCATATGCAACAAGTATGTCTGCCTGTCATACTAACATCAACACAAATAAGAGAGAGTGATTCTTGAAACGTGGCAAGACGAACATTTTCCTCCCCATTGTTAAAAGCAAAGGCATTAACATTACCGGGCAACTTGATCTTGACAAATACCTCATCACCCATGTGGAATGACAAGATCAAGAAGTACAAGAACGAATTGCTGCTGCTTCTCCAATCCCGAGCAAGCCAATGTGCAGCCCCGTTCACGTAAGCCTGGGGAGCATACTTGCAGATGGTATATGGAAGATCCAAATGGCTGATGTTCCGCCATGTGCCTGTGCTCAGACTGAAAATCTCAACCTCCGGAGGATAATTTTGATCAAAATTAAGTCCGTCGAGATATACAATCCTCACAACCTTGTAGTCATCAGTCACGGAATCGAAGCCGAACCCAATGCTACACATATAAGCACCGCGTGATTGAAAGGTGGGCGGGAGGGCCATCATCTTATGAATTGATGGAGTCCAGAGATAAAGCTCCTCCCTCAAATCATTGGAAATGCAAACGATCCCATTGCAGCTATCGATTGTACTCAAATAAGGGTCTACTGTTAGGAATTATGTCTCAAATTCCCATTATTCTTAGTTTCTACTTTATAGTGTATTTTTATAGTAATTTCTTATAGAAACGTGAATAGGACTCTAAGAAATTATAATCTTTGTCCACGAAGGAATTGGATATGTGAGTCTATAAATAAATACTTAGGCTATTGTTGAGAGTTATGAGTTGAGAGGATGTAGTCTCATGAGGGAGTACGTTGATGGTAGGGGTGAGTTAAGGGTTTGGTAGAGTGAACACTGATGGCGAGAGAGAGTCTCGTGGAGTATACGAAGAACTCGGTCAAGAGTTTGTGTGCATGGTCTGGTGTTGAAATTCTCTACTATTGTAATATTTCTACATATATACGTGCTTTACCCAAAATCAAGGTTACATTCACGAATGAGAAAAGATTCATTTTCTGAATCTCCTTCACCTTTGGCTCTGATACCAGTTTGTTGGGGCACAGCGGAAGCAAAAGAAAGAAAGAAAACAACAATTCAAACCACAACACAAGAAGTCTCAACATGTGCTACAACGGACTTTAGTTGTAGGTGGAGTCAATCGGCTTGGTTACATGATATGGAGCTTAAGTAGTCAAGGTGAAGCCTTGGGTTTTGACTGATTGAGCAACATATAATGGGGATAATCCGAGCTCTGCAATAAGATCGAGAAGATTGAAGTTGTAGATAATTGTTCAGATTCAATTGCCATGAGAAGCGATGATTAACGTAATGGAATTTGAGCCAAGGTAGAAATTGTTAGGAATTATGTCTCGAATTCCCATTATTATTAGTTTCTATTTTAGAGTGTATTTTTATGGTAATTTCTTATAAAGACGTGAATAGGGCTCTAAGAAATTATAATCTTTGTCTACAAAGGAATTGGGTATGTGACTCTATAAATAGATACTTAGGCTATAGTTGAGAGTTATAAATTGAGAGAGATGTAACCTCATGAGGGAGTACGTTAATGGTAGGGGTGAGTTACGGGTTTGGTAGAGTGAACACGGATGGCGAGAAGGAGTCTCGTGGAGTACACGGAGAACTCGGTCAAGAGTTTGTGTGCATGGTCTGGTGTTGAAATTATCTACTATTGTAATATCTCTACATATATAATGAATCTCTTCTCATCCGTGGATGTAATCCTGATTTTGGGTGAACCACGTATATATTTTGTGTTGTGGTTTGAATTATTATTTTCTTTATTTCTTTTGCTTCCGCTGTGTCCCAACATCTACTAAGTCGATCTTGAGTGGGAACTCAAGCTCTTCATAATCACAGTCTCCGCAGCGAAGTAGTGAGTAATGTGCCTTACAATGTCAAAGAAATGTCTTTGAATTAGAAGAAGGTGGTGGTTGGCAAGAGAAGATCGATTGAGGTGAGTGTTGACTGCAGACACAAGCGAACCGGACTAGTGCTTTGACCGGTAGTCTAGTGAGGACATCGATCAACACATCATTAGGCAGGAAATCTGACATTTTTTTTTTTTTATTCAATTCGTCAATTGAAACAGACAAAAGATGGATCAACAAATAAAACCCTAACTTCTTCAGAGTCGGGAAAGTTTTCTTCGTACTTTACTAACCCAGAGCGGATCTAGGTGTGTTTTTTTTCTCTCTCCCTCAATCTCTTTTTTAGTCTCAACCCACAACATATGTCCCTATTTATTTATAGACTTACAAATATAATTCCTATAATTTTATTGATTTATAGACTTACAAACATAATTCATGTTAGACAAGGATTATAATTTTGTTAATGCCAAGACTTGCCAAATAAGAAATTACCTAACCTAATACAACTCTAAAATAAAACAATTTCCAACAATGACAAGAATAGTCGATGGTGAGCGTAATCCTCCAAATAATGAAGTCCGAATCCGACATGGACATGGCAATACGAGAAACCTGTATAGTAGGACACGACAACTTTCTTAAAATATATATATATATATATATATATATATATATATAAAATACATTTTTTATCAATTTCCTATAATATTATGAATTTAAATACAATAATTAACATATTCATAAATAAAGAAGCAATTAAATAAAACACAAGATTTCATAATCACAAAACATTGAACATCAAATAAACTTAAAGCATTAAACCATTCATTACCAAAAATGAATGTATTTATTTAAAAAATCGAATACTTCTCCAAAGAATTGAACATGTATTCGAACCACGTAGCCTAGGCGTATTGAAGTATTCGTGGTACCTGGTAACCACCCTTTATAGATCAGTTTTCAAACTTTCCAATTTTAATAGCCGTTTTGGTTTCTAATTTTTTTATCTATTATTTTTTCAACAATTGATTTGTGTATTTTTATGTTTTTATAAAAACTAAATTTTAGAGTTTCAAACTAAATAAAATTGCTCTGAGTGACCTAAAGTCCAAAAATAATAATAATAATAATAATAAGTGACTATTTGATATTTATTCTCCATGTCCTTTAAAAAAATATTTTATTATTAAAATTAAAACTTACCGAAGCTAGAAAGTGAGAAATTACCAAAAGGTTGTTGTTGGGAAGGTCTAAGTCCCATCAACAAAGTTGAAGCGGCCGGAGACGATGGTCTTCGTCTGTTGCCGTCCTCGTCGTTGTAGATTACAGTCCAAAAACGTCCCAGCCTTCACATATATCACAAACCAAATCCCAGTCTTGAAAGTTCCAACATTGAGAAGCGTCTTCAAACACTCTCTGACAAGCAATAAACACTTGCTTTTCGCTTCTGTAGTTGATCTTCAACAATGGACATCATCATCCTCTCTGGTAAGCCCCGACGGACCGAGAAAATTTTGTGAGGGAGTCATTTAATATGTCCAGACAAACTTATATAGTATGTCTATTTTTGTAATTTCAATGGGTTTTCTTCATAAAATTTCAAAAATTTAAAGTATAAAACGCAAAAAAAAATAAAAAAAAATTTTGTGGGGGCAAATTGTAATTTTAGTGGGGTCATCTTAAAAAATTTTGAAATATAAAATGCAAAAAAAAAAAATAATAATCCCACGGGGTGAATTATAATTTTTGCGGCGGCATCTTCATAAATTCTAAAAAATTTGGGGTATAAAATAAAAATATAAAAAATCCTGGTCAGTCTCTGCCTCCTGGAAAGTGGCAACAAACAACTTTCAAAGCCACGTGATGCAAAGACAGCTTCAAGATCTCTTCTCGATCACGGTGCCAATGATCACCGGTACCACTCTGTGCCTCTAGTACGACAAGGGATAATATGAGGCCAAGGACGAGTAGACGCTTGCGGGTGTTAATCATTCTGTCTCATTGTAACTGGTGGGCACATGGGTAGTGCCTACGGATTAAATGTGAGACACCTCTAACATTCTCTTCTCATTCGAACTTTCATTGTAGTTGAGCCATTTATCCGAGTGACAACTCGAACTCCTCCAAACTAAGTCTAGATCAAAAATTAGGCCCAACTATAATAAGTAGGCGCTTACCTGCTGATTTAAAAGCTTAAGTTATTGGATAGTGCTACATACTCACTCATTTATATCATTTCAGTTCCTATTTGGATCTAATGTAACCGGGAAACCCTAACACTCATTCTTGGGAGATTAGCGATTTTTAGCTTTTTACAATAAAATGTTTTTTATTGTAAAATATTATTTATTGTCATTTAACTTTTAAATTTGGGACTATTCATCTTTTCTTAAATTTAATGCTCACTCAACAATAATTTTGTTTAAATTTGATCGCTAACATCTCCACCTGAATTTTCAAATTTCACATGTCAAATTCATTTTAGGTATGACATGGCAAATTGGCATATAAAATTTTGACATATCTGTATATAAGAACTCCACCTGATATGTCAAATTTATTAATTTATTAATATTTTGGCATATCTTTATTTTGGCAGATTATTTTTTCTCATACAAATTTTAATGATATGTAGGACCATATATTAAAATAATAGGAACAATTCATTTGGCATATCAAAATGTTCTATGCTAAATTTTACGTATTTGATTCTATGCCAAAGAAAAATAATAATAATAATAAAAATAATAAAATTCTATGCCAAGTGCCAAGACATTTGGCTATTTGGTTGGAGGAGTTTTTAATGCCGAATATAATTGTTGAATGCACCCACCTACGAATATCGGGAATATATATTAATGTTCTATGCTAAATTTTACGTATTTTATTCTATGCCAAGAAAAATATATATATATATATATAAATAATAAAAATAATAAATTCTATGCCAAGTGCCAAGACATTTGGCTATTCGGTTGGAGGAGTTTTTAATGCCGAATATAATTGTTGAATGCGCCCACCTACGAATATCGGGAATATATATTATAAGAACTCTCCTTTATATGTTAAATTTATTAATATTTTGTCTTATAATATGTCAAGTTGGCATATAAAATTTGGCATATCTACATATAAATTTTAAAAGAACTCGACATGTTAAATTTATTAATATTTTGTTTTTTTCTCATGTAAGTTTTAATGGGACGTTGGATGCATATTAAAATAAGGGCAAATTACAAAAAAATCTTCCTCGACTTTCACTCGTTTGCAAAAAATCAACCTTATGAATAATTTTAGCAAAAAATTCCCCTCAACTATCTCGGGGGGGTAATTTTAACTAACGCCCGTTCAATAAACATATACTATTACCAAATTATCTACGCTTTTTTATTTTTTTTTGTGACGCTTTTTTATTTTTTTTTGTGACTGCATAAAATAAATTTTATTTTCATTTGTTCAAGTTTGGGCTCAATCTTTACAAAAAATTTATGCCAAGCGAATCAATCAAAATTGTCATTGAATATGTTGTTTAGACCAAGTAAATATATTCGTTTACACCAAAAAATTTTGATATGCCAAATTTAATTTATTTAATACTATGTCAAATGTCAACTAAACATTTGACTTTTCCGTTGGAGGAGTTTTTCATACCAAATATAGCGGTCACAACAGATTAATAAACATCAATTCAATGCCTTAGATAATATCCAGAAGAGAGGAGAAGGTTTTGGCTTTGGTGCAACATCTTCTTCCTGTAGAGTCTTTTTTTTAAAAAAATAAAAAAATAATAATAATAATAATTGACTCGGAAATCACATTACAACCAGATGTTATTTTTATTGGGTAGATATTTAGGGAGGAAATGACAAGAATAACTCTAAATTATTTAATATTTTATTTTATTTTTATTTTATAATATCATTATTAGTGACCCCAGAAAATTGAGTGAGTGGGGGAGGACTTTAACGATGACAAGATAACCAATGTTGTGGTTGCAATAGTGAAATTTTTTTCCTAAATGGTGACAAATTTAAAATTTTATAAGTATATAATACGAATATATATATATAAAATAAAAAAAACAAAACAAAACAAAACAAAAAAAAAAAAAAAAAAAAAAAAATCTCATAATTACCCTTTATAATATAAACTTTAACTTATTCTTTTTTTTTTCTTTTTCCCGTCAAAATAGAATGAGAAAATTTATTCAACGGATATCACTTTCTTTTCTTGTAGTGTCATAACATTTTTTTGGGTCATGTCAAAAATGATCATTTATTCTGACAGGTTTTTTTTTTTTTTTTTTCTTTTGCAAACTATAATATTTTTTTTTCTTTGGGTTGGACGGGGTGTACAACGAATATAACTCTTTTTTTTATGCATATTATACCTTTTTTTGAGGATGCTGTCAAAATAGATAATTTATTCAGCGTCCCTTTCTAGGTTTTTTAAAAAAATTGTTCGAATCAAAATACACCGAAAATATTAAAGATTGGAGGTCGAAGGAGATGAAAGATCATTCCAAACCTAAAACCTAGTTGTGTAATTATTTTTTTTTTTTTTTAAAAAAATAAAGTAGTAAATTTTAATCATTCAATTGTGAAGTTATGAGAATCGCATGCAACTGGTACCAGCTAAACTTGTGGTGCATCGATAGCGATACATTGTGAACGTGGTTAACAATTCAATGCGACAATAATAGCAGAATGTGGTGGGCAAAAACCCTCCACCGCTCAGAACTCAGCGGTGAAGCCCAAAGGGGTTGCAAATCTGTTTATGGTCACTAATACAAGCTGTCCCAGCTGACAACATTTGATTAGTATGTGTACGAAAAACTTAAACACTACTTTTATTCACTAATCCTCAGCGATATCTAAGCATTCACTGTACAAGCTTAATTCAAATTTTTAACAAACGCGATGAGGAAACTAAAACAGAAAGTCTAAAACCCTCATTGTATTTGGTACAATGGGTCATTTGATTATTGCTTTAAGACAAAAAGCGACGAGGCAACTTGATTGAGAGCCTCTGCCCTCGTCCGAGTTTTGCAAAGTCGGGAAAAATCCCGATAGAGATAAATGATCTGCTAGAAGTATTCAAAGGTTGTTTCAAATGGTGGCAGGATCGTGATTGCATCAGGAGCTATGTGCAGCGAAGGATGGAGTTAGCTAGCTCTTCATTCATGCTCACTGGCAATTGTGGCATCTGCTTCATAACTTGGGGCATGTCATTCAAACTGCAAACATTGGTAAATAAACAGCTGACTTAGTATATATGAATAACTACCACTCAGAATGATGACAAGAAAATGGACATGATTTTTTATTTTCATTTTTTTTTAAAACCGGCTTAATGATAGAACCTGTAACTAGCTGTAATATAGATCTAAAACAGGTCAGCACTAGATATAAAAATCCTTATAATGAACCTATTTTGAAACATCTAATTTATCATTCTCATATTGTCATGCCCTCGTGTGATTATTCCTAAAAGCTGATTAATAGGATGCCTAAGGACATAGATGTTTGGGACTGTGCCAAGCCTAGAGATAGAACGGTCCTCAAATCATTGAAGATAGGCGGTTGTGTTGCAACTAATAAAGTTCTCACTGTACAGGAACTTCTGAAAATGAGTGTTTTTTTGATAAATTTTATGAAAACTGATTAATAAGTCTTGCAAAATATCTAGTGGTCACTGATCATGGACCTGTTGATCAGGTCCAGCGATCCTTGGTTTCCCAATTCCCATTTATGCCACATTAAAATGCAATACGTAGTCGGGGAGATCTATTGATTTAATTTAAAATGCACAACTCGGATTAAATCTGGACTCCTGTAACTAAACTGTTATATCACTGTACTAGTTAAGTTCAGTCCCCTTTTTTATATATATAATAAAGGACATTCCGTACCATGTTACCTCCACTAACTCCAGGTGTTGACCTCCGGTGAAACTGCATGGCAAAATCAAAAGAAAAATGAACTTAAAATGCATGAGCTAGGACCATATGTCTAATTGTCTATTGCCCAGGCTTCAAGGTTTTAAGTTTAAAGAAGTCCCAACATCACAATGCCACCAGCAAGCACTGTCATGGTGGAGCCCTGTCTTGATGGAGGCACAAGAATGTAGAAGGCATTAAACAACGCTAATGTGTTAAAAGGAAATTGGAGTCCAATAATTCCTGTCTACCATCAGGTTATCGAAGATGTAGTTTATGTGAAAAGGCATTTCAGATATTCAAGAACTAAATTTAAAATTAATAATTTTCAATAATAGAAGTTGCAGAAAACATTTGACTGTAAGTAAATAATTGGTAACATGGTGACAACCAACCAACCAAGGAGAAATGCTGGTTATTGATGTCATGGTCCTTCAACCAAACACTGAACTTAGAAGAAGAAATAACAAGAACGTATTTATTGCAATAAAAATAAAGGCATTCATGCACTCCAAAATGAAAAGGAGGTTCCTCCTTTGACATGTTGGGTTTACAAGAGTGGCAGCCAACCCCATGTACTTCCACCAAGAAAGATGTCTGAAAAAAGGCCGCCACAAAGAGCCAAAACTACCTATGCGGGGTGCTGGGAATGGGAAGGGTGGACTGGAGACAAACCTAACTTTGGAAATTATATTACACAAAGTGGATGCTAACAAACTTGGACATGAATTCTCATGCTTGTTGACATTTACCATTGTACCAAGCAGTGGCCCCTACCAAGAATGTTGGCATTTATAAATTAACAGCAGTGAGGGTAAACTGCATGGAGCAGATCCTATAATACACAATCTTCTACTTTTAATAGTACTATCAACAGAATGAAAATCCCTAAAAGGACATAAGAATAATGGTAAAAAGAATAGTGACATTTTGTCAATCGGACCTCTAATCAGCCTTGTAAAATAATTGTGTGCATGTGAGAATTTAAGAAATAAATCATCAACATGTATATGCAAGGATGATGCAATAACAAGAGGTCAGTCACTCACTTGTTCAAGATTTTGAGGATATTGTCCCGAGCTTGGCAAAAGAGACTGATGTTCTCGTGTATCTGCACAAGCGAACACAAAATAGAACATTAGATCAGTTCAATAGCTAAGATGCATCTTAGCAGAAGAAGAAGAAATAAAAATAAAAAATAAAAATAAGAAGAGGTAGAGAAGGGGGGAGGGGGGAGGGGGAGGTATAATTACAAGAATACTCCTAAAACATGATGAACTTCTAGCAGCAACACTACATGTTTCAAATGCTTGTTTCTAAAAGTAAGTGGACTTTCAGAGTATTTGTCAGTGAGAATGTGCCAAGATTATTTTTGATACATGACTAGTGAGAATGTACCTAGACTATAACCACCACCATATAATCATTAGCGAGCCAAGCTCTATAAGGAAGTTACATCATTATCCTTGAAGGAAGTAAATAAGACGTAACAAAAAATCTACCAGAGAGAGATTAAGATGTTCATCCTGCACCCATGAACGACAGTGGCATGAAATCTTTTGGAAAATGTCGGTTCTTACTCTTTAGATGCTTTTAACACTATAATAATAGCAACTATACAAAATCAGAATTTGTATCACATTAATACTTCACCTGCTGACCAAGGGAAAATAAAAAATAAGAAATACTTCACCTGCTGAGCTGTGAAATTTGCAGAAATCTGATTAAAATACTGAGCATTTTGCTCAAGAAGCTGCCCTGTAGCGCCACCAATGCCTGCAAACAGCATAATGCATTTTTTTAATATAAGCATACAATATGAATCAACATGGAACCGTATAAAAGAATTTAGTTCTTGGAAAACAGAGAGCTTCAGAAAATTGAAACATTTGGGACTCTATTAGCTGGAAATGATTTCCTAGATAACAAAAATATATTTTCAAATAATAATTGCAAGGGATAAGGCAAGAGAGAAGGAGAAACAATTTCCATTCCTTTATTGTTAAATAGAAACAAAGGATCGACATCTAGGAAGAAGTGGTGGAAACAGCTACAAAACAGTTTCTTTTTCCTTGAAAATTTCCTCAGATCCAGTTACCATGCAGACTCAAAAAGAAAAAAGAGAGGGTGGGGGGGGGGGGGGGGGGGGGGGGAACCCAGTGCATGAGGTTCCAGCCATTGCGGGGTACACAGCCTTACCTCCGAATGCAAGAGGCTGATTTGAACCCGTGACCACCAGGTCACAATGGAGCAACTTACCATTGTGCAGAATCAAATGATACTAAATAAATAAACTCCAGTAATATAAATGGAACCTAGTGAGACAAACTAATTACTAGTTGAACCACTTAGAACATTCTCTGTCATAAAACTAACCCGTGACCACCAGGTCACAATGGAGCAACCTTAACATTGTGCAGAATCAAATCATATTAAATAAATAAACTCCAGTAATATATATGGAACCTAGTGAGACAAACTAATTTACTAGTTGAACCACTTAGAACATTCTCTGTCATAAAACAGATTATACTAACAAATAACTCAAGCTACTTAACGTACGAAGCCTTCAGCAAGTCAGCTTTATTAGGGGCACATGCTCCTTCAGGTCTCAGGCATACTTTTGGTAGAAGAGAGGGGTCATGCCATCTGGACCTGGAGCTTTATGGCAAGCCATTTAAAAAACTGACTTGTGAATTTCTACCTCAGAAATTTCATGGAATCCCTAACTTCTCAGTTACAAGAATTGACTCTTTCCTTGGAAGAGGAGGGTATGGTTAAATATCATTCTATTCATATTAAGTTGCTGATCCAATAGAAGCAGACAGTCGAGAACAAAGGTTTCCATGGCTCCAAGGAATTGATTGCAAACAAGCTTTTCAATAAGAGAGTCAAAGGAGAACTTGTTGTAATTGATCTCTTGCCTTATCAATGGTTACGGGAATATCATAAGAGAAGTGGTTTTCAAAAGAACGGCAGCTTGCCCTGTAGGAGTGAGTGGAAGATGGAAGACAGATGTGAGTGACCAAACCCAACAGGGACATGACAAATGTAAAGTCGTTCATGGACAATTACTAGTTGATTACTTGGAACATTCTCCTCATGAGATCCCCAAGAACCAATAACATTTGGCCATCACATTTCTGAATTTTGCATCACACAGAAGATAAACCTAGCCCAGAATTATTTTTGGGGCTACTATAGAGTAGTCGCTATATTTCCAAAATATTTATACTTTTAGTTGTAACACGAAACCTAAATAAATCCATAGAATAGATCATGCTAATTACCTAGTTTAAATCGAGTCTAGATTGGAGGCATGTACAAATGCGTGTCCCATTCCCCAGAACTATCCCATGATAAGACAAGTCAACAGAGGGTATTCCAAGACAAAGTGATGCATCTGTTTAACTGAAACATCGGCTCAACATGAAGATTTAATAGGCTAGACTCATCCATAACTAGATCACACTTTCTTAACAATTAGTGTCCCACTGTCTCTTAAAGGAAATACTTTGCATTTGAGCTACGCTTAAAAGTCAGACAAGGCCATAAATGGAGAAGTGGCAAATTCCACCATGTAGTCTCCAACTAGTAAAATGTTTAGGCCAAAATCTGCAGAAATCAGCCTCAATTTCAACCATATGTATGGAAGATATATGTTATGTCTTACAAACATCTAAAGTATGACCAAATACAAGATTAAAAAAAATAAAAAATAAAAAATAAAAAAATAAAAATACAAAAACTAATTCTTTACGACAAACTACTTGGGGAAGATCCATTACTTAAAACTAATATAAGGGGCCCATCCAGTGGAAATTTAAGCCTACATCACCATGTTTTGGCAAATATAACCAACTAGTTTCAATTCTCCTCCCAAAACTTATTTATATGTTACAATCTCCCACCAACCAAACTCTTCTTTATGCTTCTGCTTGCCCCAACAATGCTTAAACACAGCTCGGATTCCAGATCTAATGACCCTAATCCACATACATGAAATGCCAGTCCAGTTTCGAAACTGTGTTCTGGCATTTACTGGGTGGATCTGAAGTGGAAACCAATGACTGAAGAGCATGATTCCTGTACAAGTTCTACTTTCCCACTAACCCAAAAGCATGCTTGAGATTGTTTAGGTACAAATTACAACTTCGTTTGAAAAAGGTCAAGTGTGCACCTGTCACTCCTCTACTTACAACCCCATAGCTGTCAACCAAAGTCTTTCTCAACTACATTTATGAATGAAGCATGAGTTGAATCAATGACTTGTAAATTATATGCAACATGCGACAACTAAACTACAGAATGGAACTTGTCGATCTTTTGCTACACTTATTGTTTTAAAAGCTATTGGTATAATCTATTCTGATTAAGTATAAAGATTACAGATGTAGATAGTTCTAAAGTGAATTTATATCATCTCAGTAAGGTGTTTGAGTGCTTCTACTGCGTATGTTCTAGCACTCCCACTCCATCTTAACCCCGCCACCTGGGCGCTCGATGTTCTGTTCACCTAAATCGGCACTCAATATTTGTTTACTATTACCAAGAAAGAAATGCCTGTGCTACTAATTTTGCGCTCTACTCTCTAAAAAGGTCAGAAGTTTGACCGAATGGGAGGTGTCTCTTTGGTCCATGGGTAGGGAGGGTATGGGAACAAATTGAACAATTAAGATAGGGTACTCATGTAACTAATAAAAGAATAAGATTCATGTCTTCAGAAACACTTCTATTACCTAAAGTAATAAATGACTGACCAACTTTACAGCTGTCAGTCTTCTGTAAAATGAAAGTAATTGTCAATTAAGAGTCCAATGAACAATCTACTCATGCAGGATAATAGGTGGATAAGGAATTAAGGATATTTCATCATCATATCTGTAACATTTCCATTCCGCTCTATTTAAGACCACAACCACAGTCAATCCACATGTTATCATATCTTTCTTACAACTAAAGCGACTGCTAACATAATCTAAAGTGGAAACGACATTAAGTTTCTTATTAAGGTCTGAGTTCAATAGTTCTAGAGTTTCCAACTCATTAGAAATAATTAGAAAGTAAAAGCATCACACAAGCCAGCTCAAGCAGTACACATAATGATAAGTTGATGAATAAATATTTTTACCATAAATTAGTTTGCATAAATAGTATAATCTTAAGAAACTGGATCTGAGTCCTTATTAGGAAAGTCTACAATAAGGCCACAGGGTATCATTTTAATTTCATCTAATTTCAAGACTACCAATGCTTAAAAGAGAGTGAAAAAAATACGTGATTAATATTTTTTATGTCAGATTTATAATAAGCAAGCACTCATCTAGTAAAAGACACAATAGAGCCCTGTCCAAATTGCAACTGTGTGCAATACAAACAAGTGCACAGTTATGTATTTACTAATTAGCAACTAAAATGCATCTAAACTAATTACAAACAGGGCTGTCAATGAAAGGTTCTGTTCGTGAACAACTAGGACTTGGCTCAATATGGGCTTAGTTCATCATCATTTGTTTAGTAACTGCACCAAGCTTAAACAAAAATTTTAGGCTCATTTATTAAACGATCCGAACTCGAACATCTATCAGTTCTGTTCATTTGTTCGTGAACACGCTCGTGAATAGGCTCGTTTAATGGGTTCATTTTGAGCTTGTGAAAATACATACTGTTTAAAGTGATAAAAGTTTTGTCCACATACAAAGAAGGTCTCTTAAAACATTTAATTATCTTCCTCTTGCCCAACCCAATCCAAATATTATCATCCATTAGCTCAAGCCCATGACTACTCCCAAGCCCAAGCCAGTCTTAGATATATACACACACACACACACAATTAAACCCTTGTGAGTAGCAATCTGATCTCCACTTTCTTTTCCAGTTTCCCTTACCAACCAAACAATGAAAACCCTAGCTGCCACACCAACATTGCATTCATCGGCAAAAACCCACCTATAATAGACTTCTTTTCCAGTTTCCCTTACCAACCAAACAATGAAAACCCTAGCTGCCACACCAACATTGCATTCATCGGCAAAAACCCACCTATAATAGACTCCCATCTTCTCTGGTACCATTGATTTGCTCTCTCTCTCTCTCTCTCTCTCACACACACACACACATATGTAAATTGGGGTTATAAACCATTTCTGACTCCCTGCTCTCTCTGCCTTTTTCATCTCTCAACGACGACGCCACCTTCCAATCTCAACAGCATCATCCACTGACGATCCCTCTCTTAATGGTGTCTTTCACCAACGATTCCTCTCTCAACGGCATCTTTCACCGACGATTTAGGCATTCTGTATAGTGGGAGCTCGATTCGATTTTAAACACCCTTGCAATATTGTTGAGTTGAGCTCGAACAGACCATTACTTGACTTGCCTCAGCTCATTTACAGCCCTAATTACATATCACAATTACAAATAATTGCCTTAATAAAGTTGAGATTCTGGAATTATCTAATCTTGATAACATATCTAAATTCAAGACTCTTGTAAGGAAAATATGATGACAAAGTTGAGAGTTCATTGATAATAATGAAAATCAACAAGATGAAATGATGCAAGGAAAATGGTCTATCATCTCGTAGGAGAAACAATGCAAGTTGGGGACAAAGGTTGTGTGCCCAACTAAAAAGAGCAATTTAGATCTTGGTAATATGTGTATATATATAAACATATTATATACACACATATATAACCCAGACCTTTGTATGAGTTGCCATCATCATTTTCTGTAGTAAACATCCCCTGAACATATGAAGGAAAGTTGGGCCGGGCTGCCATCTGACAAGACCTCACCAAAGGCTCAGTGGATTTTTCCTGAGGAAAAGGAAAACAAAAATGTAAAAATATTTCCACAAGCCTTGGGAACTTGATTAAAAAGTACATAAAAGGAAATTGGGGGGAAAATTAAAAAATTGCTTATTATATCTGAATTGTTCAAACATATAACAAAGACGATAAGGGAGGGAGGGGGGGTTGGAAACCTACAAAATGACATTCCAGAAATATGTTAATCTGAAACACTAAAACTACCCAAACCCTTGCTCAAAGCATACCACAATGCCACAGTTTTGGTTATCACAGAAATAAACAGAGTCCTCTTAGTGTAAATTGTAAATTCCTATATGCCTAATTATTTTCAGAGATATATAATACCATTTAAAAGTTACGTATGCCATAAATTAATTTTTCAATAAATAACTTTTATCCCTATTTGCTTAACAATCAAAGGTCCCATTAATAACATGAGCTATAACATCAGACACGAAAATGATTGCCGATATTCACGTGCGCATCTATATAAATTTTGAAGAGACCATATTCATGCGGACTAAAGAGTAAAAATGGCACCAGGGCATGTAGGTGTATCATGCACCTAAATTTAAAATGGTAATGTTCATCTCTTACCAAAAGGAAGTCAATTATGGATCCTATCAGAGGGATGTACAAATCCAGTCTAGCCCATTTTTTATTCCACGAGGATCACAACCAATGAAGGCTCAGTCTCTTTCTGTCAAATGAGAATATAATTATAGGCTCTCAGTCAAATGAGAATATAATTATAGGCCCTCAGTGACTAATGATCAAGAGAGTCACAAATTTTTTAGTTCAGATTTTCTGGTATTAAAAAGGATAGATTCCTGATTAATAAAATAATAAAGCCATATGCACTAATCACCGTAATTTCATATACCCTGCCATTCACACAAGAATTTTGATTTATCTCATAAATATGAAAATGGTCAAAGACTTTCAAGTTTCAAGCTCATTTAATTTTGATGGATTGGCGGAGGGGCTTTGGTGAAAGTAATGGGGCTAGGAAAACACACTTAAAATTTGCAAGCGCATGTGATTTAGCTACAGCAAATTCCTTTTTTAAGAAACAAAAATAACGTTTAATCACTTCTAAGAGTGGCACAAATAAAACACAAATGAACTATTGGTTATATAGAAGAGGAGAATGGGTTCATATAAAGATTGTAAAGTAATCCCCGATTTGACAAACCAGCATCAAATATTAGTATTAGACCTCTTGGTCAGAGAATCAAAAATTCAAAACATAATGAAAGGACTTCAACACATAAAGTGGAAAGACTTGAAAGGTAATTAAAAAAAATGTAGAAAATGGAACACTAGGAGAACTAAAAGAAATAATTTATTAAAATAGAGATATGGTGGTGGAAATACAACAAGCAATAAAAAACAAAAGAATGAGTTTTAAAGAATGGCAAAAAAAAAAATTAAGAAACAAGAGGATTTAGAGAAATATATATATATATATATATATATTAAATATGAAGTTAAAAAGATGGTAGCGACAGCTAAACAAAATGCACTAGATAACGTATATGAAAAATTAGGTACAAATGAGGTGAAATAGCTTTTTACAAATAGGCAAAGAATAGAGAGAGGTTGATGAGAAAGATGGACCAAGTTAGGTGTATTAAGGACATAGATCAAACAATAGTAGTTAAAGATAAAGATATATTAGAATTACTTTCAACAAATACTAAATGAGGATATGTTATAGAAGAAGTTGTAAGTAATGAACTGTATATAAGAATGGTAAATGAAATTCATAATAAGGAAGTAGAGGATACACTCTAAAAAATGGGTAATAATAAGGCCGTTGGACCGAATAACATACCCATAGGGGCCAAGTGAGCAGAGAAAAAGCACGATAGTAACAATTTATAAAAATAAAGGGGATATACAAAATTATAGAAATTATAGAGGAATAAAAGTAATGAGTCATACAATGAAATTCGGAAAGAATAATCGATCGGATTTATGCCAGGTAGATCCACAATGGAAGCCATAATATTTTGTTATGACAAACGCAACGAACCCAAGTTGAACCAAGAATCACGACAGAAATTAAACACGCCACACAAAGAACACAAAGATTTAGACGTGATTTGGCAAAAACCTACGTCCACGGTTAGGATCCGGCGAAAGCTTTCACTATGTGTAAAATCAAAGATTACAAGTTTTCAGCCCCTCACTCTATTTCTATACGAATACTAGAGTCTCTCTTATCCACCACTCCAAACCCTAAGCGCCCTTATATATCGGGCTACAAGAGACTAATTAGGATCCACGACTCATGAGCAAAAAAAAAGGGTCAAACGGGTCGTCGGGTCATAAACGGGTCGAGTTCACCAAATTTGGGCCACAATATCACATATTTAATAAAACAACTTGTAGGAGAATATAGAAGTAAACAAAAAGACTTGCATATGGTTTTCCTATATTTAGAGAATGCATATGATAGAGTGCCAAACGACATAATTTGGTGGGCTCTACAACGAAAATAAGTACCTATAAAACTTATAAATCTTATTGAAGATATGTAGACTGAGACATTGACTAGAGTTAACACTACATGCGGGGAAACTAGTGACTTCTCTATAAACGTGGGACTAAACCAAGGATCCATGTTGAGTCCATACCTATTTGCGATAATATTAGAAAAAAATTACGAAAGTTTTTCAAGCAAACATCCTAAGGTGTATGTTATTTGCTGATGACATAGTATTAATAGATACTTCTAAGGAAGCTTTACCAACAAAATTAGAAATATGGAGAAAGGCATTAGAATCAAGGGGACTAAGAATTAGTAAAACAAAAACGGTATACATGCCATGTAAATTTGATAAAGTAATATTACACTTCGAGACCAAAGAGTTACTCAAAAGAACTATTTCCATTACCTAGGATTAATATTACAAAAAGATGGGGAGATACATGGTGATATAGTAAGTAGGATTGGAGCTGCGTGGATAAAATGGAGGCAACCTAGCGCTACCCTTTGTGATAAATGAATACCAAATAAATTAAAAGAAAACTTCTATAAAACGTTATTAGGCAGGCAACATTGTATAGGCGGGTAACATTGTATGGAGCGGAGCGTTGGGCGTTCAAAAACATGCAAATACAATGCATTCACGTAGTGGAAATGAGGATGCTATGTAGGATGATAGGAATCAGTAGAAGAGAAAAGATGAATAATGAATATGTAGGGGGAACATTAGGTATATTGCCCGTAAATGATAAAATTAGGGAAAGTGAACTTCGGTGGTATAGTCTTTAATGACTTTAAAACTTAAATTTAAGAGAAGACATGGTGTATAATAGGAAAAAATGGAAAAAAGAGAATTCATGTGCCGACTCCATCCATATGGGATAAAAGCAAGGATGACGATGATGTTGATGATGGAAATGGAACATGCCCACATCATAGTGTTAAGACTAAAATGTATCAAGAAAAGCATTAAAAAAAAAAAAAAAAAAAAAAAAAAAAAAAAAAAAAGAAGAAGAAGAAGAAGAAGTTAAAATAAATAAATAAAACAAATAAAATAAAAAGAAGAAGAAGAAGAAATCTACATGAATAATGCAAGCTGAGAAATAAGAAAAATGAACCCTCCCAAGGAGGGGATCAAGGAATTACTCGAGTCAAAAAGTTCAGGAAAGCATTTACCAGGGAAAAAAAAAAGTTCAGGAAAGCACAATCTATCCATTAATTGGATACTTGGAATTTTTAATTGCTGATCTGGCAAAAATAGTTAAACAGATCTTCTAAATAGAAAATTAGAAAATAGATTTTCTTTATCAATAAATCCTTTCAAAATCCATATTGCTGCATTAGAGTGTGGTGGGTATATCGATTTCCTGTTGATTAAGGAATTATATAATTCATCTCAATGTCACAGTTCTAGAAGGCCAACTCAATTTTGAAACGAAGCTCTAAACATGACAGAAAATTGCCATAACCCAGAGGATAGAGTAGTACAACACCAGAACTACACGGTATGAGTGACTAATGTTGATTTCATAAAGCAAGATAACGCTTCCTAACCGCCAAACTCATATATCATACTAAGTCAACTCTTTGAGAAGAAAAACTAGAAAATGTTAAAAACACTCATAATTTTACATATCACAACATATATAGAGAGATATTAATTAGTGGCTTCTTTATTCTTTAAAATGCAATATGCATTCAATTTTCATCACTGTCTATTGTCTACCATCCCCATAGATGGAAAGTTCCTGCCAAGTTCCCTCAACTGATCCAAAGAGGGAATAAGAAGAAAAAAGGAAAACCTCTACTTTTTATGGTCATTTTTCAACATAAATGGTCTGGTTGATTGAATGCACGTCTAAATAACTATTAACTGGGGAGATTGATGAAATAGAATCACAAATTTGCACAATCCTGCACATAATTGAACAAAAGGAGTCTTAAATTAACTAAAAACCATGATAAGAAATAAAAATGAGCACACAAAAACCTGCAGCTATACCTTTCTATCCTTGCTTTTTCTTGCTAAATCCTCTTTCCTTCTCTTGCTATTTTCCTTTTTCTGGACAAAACAACAAATTATTAGCCCAGTTTCCATACAGATTATAGAACAATAAGTCATATTTTGATAAAACTAGCAGTAAAGGCACCTTCAAAATGCACATGCAGTTTGGAGTTCAATCCTAATTTAAACACCTTGTTTCACTTATAATTACATACATCTACACTGCTTCACTAATTCCCCTTCAGGCACTTCCATCACATATTTTGACCATTTGAAACCATGTCATAGAGGAAGAGAATAAGGATCTAAAACGATTAGAAGGGCTGCCAAAAATAGAGAAAATTTTACTGGCACATGTTGCGGACAAAGGAAAAAAATATCAAATACTAAACTTTCCTTCAGCAAAACAATATAGAATGCTTCAAGACTGAAGAATAACTTCGAATACACATCTTTGCTGCATTAGGAAAAAAATTGTTACATTTTACTTCATTTTCACCCTGTGCCAATGTAAAACACATAGTGCACTTCAAGAAAACACAAACCAGGGAGCCCCATTTCACTTCAGCTAATCACTTCTCCCAAGAATGTCTAACACCTTTATAGCAAAAGAAACTAAACAACTAGTATTTATTTGTTCTTCTTACAGGGAAGCTGATCCCATTCGTTCACTTGGAATAACCAAGAGTTAAGAAAGTACAGCAACTTAACATCACCGTCAAAGTTCATACCAACCTATGTTTATTTCTATTGGCTGCAAACAATCACAGAAGTTTTTTTTTTCTTTTTTTTTCTTTTTTTTTTTTTGATAAATACACACTCACAGAAGTTTCAACCCCAGTTTTGTAGTATAAACACACAACTTCATCACTTAGATCAACAACTGCCACATGAATGAGTGTGCACACATAAGATCGAAGGTGATATGCAAATTTACAACAACCATCCCGGCATCAATTTTTAGGTCCATGTGAAACATTGGAAGGGAACAATTGAATAGTTTAAGACAACAAATAGTTGTTTAGTAATCAATTTGGTCTTGTGCTAAGTAGATCTACCATGAAAGTTATTTTCTTACACCTAATCAATAGAAAGAAAAATTAAGATAGATAGAAAAGTCTAGATGGTAATAATAAATTTAGAAAAAGCAAATAAGGTCTCTACAAATAATTAATGTCAGAAGAAAAAGAAATATAAAGTATATCAATGCAATCAAAGACAAGTAGTATGAAGTAGCAACAGGCATAGGAAGAATACTAAGTGAAACAAGTAAATTTCCGGCTCATCAAACAGGCACCAACCCCATACCTTTCTTTCATTAGTTGTATGAATTTTATATGCATATTCAAAAGTGCCAATCTGTAATAATACATATTAACAATGCTTAAAAAGTGAGGATTAACTCTATTTAGAACTACAGCAAGATACTCTAGAAACCACAAAGTTTTAGCTCAAACAAAAAGGCAATAAAGGATCATTAACCAGTGTGGTCAGGGACAGATCCAGGATTTAGGGGGGCTTATTGAACGTGATAAAATAAAATAAAATAAAAAAATCAACTAACATTACAAATATATAGAACTTAAATTTACAATATTTAAGATTACATATTTCATTCCAAAAGAAAATTTGAACAATATGACACTCATTAGGTCACAATTTTGAGAACTAACGGTCTACTTTAGCTTCTTCTGATAACTATGAACCAAAAGTACTAATCCGCCCACCAATACTAAGATAAATTCATCAATAATTAAGGTTTTCTTGCCTACAAAACAAAATAATCAAATATAATATATATATATATATATATATGTCTATATATATATAACAAATTCATGTGTCATAATAAAATGTAATCCACCAAACAACAACATGGTAAATGGATTTAAAACCATATTTGAATTGAACATGGACAGATTTGAAATAAACAAACCAAAACAATTGATTACAGTATTAAGTACTAAATAGGGGGTCATGAATAAAATATCAAAATGCTTATATACTGTAAAACTCATAATATTCAACAATTCATTCATGAGAGTTTTATATGTACATAACAATATAGTGGAGCATATTAGCATAATCTGTGAAAATATATATATATATATATATATATATAAGCATAATCTACAAAGAAAATAATTTACAAATATGTACAAAAATATAGAAGAGTTAAATAAAATACCAAAATCACATAAACAAAAAAAAAAAAAAAAAAAAAAAAAAAGATGTAATGTTATGCTAATAATATACACAAATACATGTATAAGATCCAAGAACATAGCTTCTTACTTATCAATAAAAAATAAACAATAAATAAATAAAGATCCAAGAATATAGTTTTAAATATATTTATAGAAATAATGTGTATATATTTAATCAGGTGTGTGTGTGTGTGTGTGTGTGTTTTGATAAGTAAAATGTATTAGAAAGCGTTCAAACGGGGCTATATATATATATAGATAGATAGATAGATAGAGAGAGAGAGAGAGAGAAATTGGTATTTTTGGACTCTGGCAAACTAGAAGGTGGGGGGCAAACTAATAATATTGCAAATTGAAGGGGCATTTTGTAAAACTTCACAAAATATATATGTAACGCAAGGGAAAAAAAAGAAAAAAAAACAGGGGGGAATAGGGCCTCCGTCCTTGAGTGTGGTACCCATTAATGGTGGATTGGAGAGACCTTAACCTAACCTTTGACATTAATTGAACAAAGTGACTATTATCAAGATTCAAAGCCATGTTTTAACGCTTGATAAACCCAAGACGTTAGCACCGTGCCAAGCGGTGGACCCCCGTTTCACGTTAAACAAGATTATGGCAAAATATACAGAGTGCAACAGTTTTCAATTTACTTGGAAACTAGGGTGTAGTGAAAAATTGATGCCCAGGAGAGATCCAAAGTTCCAAACGCAACCAAGATCCAAAAACGACCAATTACATTATCTCGGACAGATGAAGCAGTTTATCGGTTGCATATAGGGTTTGAAGACATCAAGCATGACCGTTGAGGTGAAATCGGGACCTAAAAGATCGAACAGAACATATAAAGAGAAACAAATCTTCACTAGTTCAACGCATGGTGATGTTAAATTTCTCAAGTTCTGTTGAAACAATTGATAAATAAATAATAAGATATACAAGGAAAAACAAGTACTGTTCCTTGGCAAAAATTCTCAGTATGTCAATAGGGATACTATTATAGTAAATAAGTAATACACATATATGTTGAAATTTAATTGGGAGGAGCAGACTATGATCCTTTTCTCTGACTAGGATTGTCAATTAGGCTCCAAAAGCCCAAAGCCTGTCCCTTTGGCTCAATAACATCTAGGCAGAGCTATTATAGGGTTTGAAATATGAAACCTGATCAACATTTTAAGCTATAAATTTACATTGAACCAAGCTCGGTTAAGGTTGACTCATTCACTAAGCCTAAAGCCTGAAACTAATAAAGGTTCTTTAGTAATTTTTATCCTTTTATTAAATTCTTCTAAAGACTCAATGTTTGAGTTTGATGTAAAATTCCCAGATATGGCTTGAAAACCTTGCACTCTAGATCCTTACTATTAATTGTTATCAAACTTAGCCATGCTCCATCTAGCGGGTAAAATCAAAAGCCCAAGGGGATTAGAACACAAGAATGTACTCATGAAGCCCTTCCAACAATAAGGTTGAAGAACTGAGAAGTGATCCTGCTCATGAAAGGATAGAATAAATTAGCTGCCCCGTAAGAGTCATGTTTGCTCATGCGCTTGGAATTATATTGAATGTCACATCAGGACTAATGTTTCGTACCTTCAGGTTTGAAATTCTCCATTGAAAAAATCTTTCTGCAGATTTTTTCTTTTTTTGACTGTTCCATTTTATGTTGGTTTTTTATGCCTTAAATCAATGGAAAATTAGGGTTGATAACTAGCAGATTTTGTTTAACATTGGAATGCTTTGATTCAAATCTATTGAGAGAAGAGAACCTAGATCACATCAAGCCAATCCAAACTAATCCGTTGTATCAAAAATTCTGTGAGCTGACCATCGTCAGCAAAGTCTGAGCATGGTTTGATGATTTTTCATTGAGCTTAGCTCGAGCTGTCCTCAATCTGGCTCAGCCCAGCCCAATTGACAGCACTATCTCTGGCCTAAATTCTTATTGTGATGAGAAACAGGGGACAATAAAGATTAATTGAAAACTAGGGCTCAACAATTAACAGTTCCCAACCTAAATAATCATACAAAACACACACAGTACACAAACAAAATTGGAATAAACTAGATGGATCTCTGGTAGCCAAACCATGAACATCTAATCTTTTAGTCCCCATTCCCCAGCCTGCATCTAATATGAATACCATGTTTAAACAAACTAGACGATAAATCTATCCAAATGTTTACTTTATTATTCAAATTACTTTTTTTGCAGGTTTCAGCAACTTGAGGAAAAGGAATGACATGAATGGTAAATGAATGACAAATAAATAATGGTTTCAATCAGTATGAAGTATTAATTGTAGAACTCACAGTCATCCATTTGCAACGCAATGCCACATCTCTAACTGTCTTATGCTGTAACTTCAGAGCAATCTTAGCATATCGACTTACGCTTGATTCAGAAGCATATCTGAAGGGTATAATATGACAACATGTGAGTTAAATGCACTAATCATGCACAATCTAGAACGGACATGAATGACGAAAATAACCAGAAATAAGTAGATAATTGAGTTGATTGGGGATCTTGTACAGAATATAAGCCCAAAAAAAAGGAACCGTAACATATAAAAAATTTATAACTATGCAAAAGCACATCATTCAGCATTAGTTTTCTGCCCCGGTTGAAATTTAATGAAGCCACCAAAATCTCAAATTTTCAAAAGTAAACCAAGTAAATCTTCAGATGGAAGGGGAAAAAAATGAAAGCAGATGGCATTTTAAAATTTCTCAAGTGTTAGGTGAAATCTATATATTTAAATTTGTAAAAGGACAAAAGTTTGAAAACAGGGTGTATAGAATGCAGAGCACGAGATTCCTGAAAACTACTTTTGAGGTTCCGTGTATTGATGAATTCTAGGTTAAGCAAAAGGAGCTACAACAAAAACAATTTACAATATGTGTTAAATGAGGAGGATTTTTTAGATATGCTAAGTTCAAATAATTTACAATATGTGTTAAATGAGGAGGTTTTTTTAGATATGCTTTTTTTTAATAACCTAATCAATCTCCAGTCAAGTTTTTGGATCTCCAATCTTTTTGAATCAAAATTACCTTGAAATTCACCTGTCAGATTTAAGAGGGAACAGTGTCTCACAAATCAATAGCCAAAATTTACTTTGACTGACTAAACACCAATTTGTAGTGCAAGTCAAAGAAGTTTAAGTGAAAATATTACAAAACCTTACGTCATTTTATCTTCTGATTCCAACCTTCTTTTATCAAAATTACCTTGAAATTCACCTGTCAGATTTAGGAGGGAACAGTGTCTCACAAATCAATGAAATTTACTTTGACTGACTAAACGCCAATTTGTAGTGCAAGTCTAAGAAGTTTAAGTGAAAATATTATGAAACCTTAAGTAATTTTATCTTCTGATTCCATGCTTCTTAAGAACTCTGAGGGTACCTATCTATGTTCAAATGAAAATCAACTCCAACTTTTTAGAAAAAGGAAAAAAAAAAAAAAAAAAATACTGAATTTTAATCACTCATCATCATCCTTGCCTTAATCCCATATAAATGGGTAAGCCACATGAATTCTCTTTTTCAATTCTTTTCTACTATAAACCATATCTCCTTTGCCCTCTGTCTTCTGCCTTCTATCCAAATTAGTCTGTCTCTTCTTACCAGAGCATCTAAAGACCTCCTGTGGATATGTCCAAATACCTAAGACTAGTTTCTCTTATCTTATCATTAAAATGCGTCACTTCTAATTTCTCCCCTACATTTTGATTAGTAACCACCCTTATCATTCACCTTAACATTCTCATTTCCACTACATTAATCCGTTGTCATGTTTCTCTTCTAAATCATTAGGTGCATTGATCCATTACATTGAAACTTTGACTTCAGATTACAACCACCCTTCAAAAACTCATTTTCTATTCTGATACGAAGTTCAACTGCTATCAAAATGACCTACTTCATGCAAACAAGTACAGTTTGGACATCGAACAAAATGTATTCAAATGGCACCAAGAAGAGCCATGGATAGTCATGCCTGCATCATGAAAAATAAACTCAAACCATACCATGCAGTATTGAAGACTTGACTTAGTCTCAGATGAAAAGCTAGACTTGATACCCATAAAAACTGAAATTCCTAAACCGCAATGCAATATTTTAAATTCCTAAAACTAAAAGTTTAGGAGTCAATGCTCGACCGCATCATAGTTTCTTCATTAAACAAAATTTCAGGTAAAACCACCAAATAAAAAATGAGTTACAAAGAACTGCTTTAAATGGTTCATGCACGGGACCAAACCCAAGTATGTGGCAAAATACGAGGATGAGGGTGCAGGTTGAAGGATCAACTTGAGCTCAATCAACTATATAACCCTCAACCCATACCCAAGCTTAACCCAACCGAATCTAAACCAAGCCTAACCCAAGCTTATTATTCTACGTCCGGGTTATGCTTTGGTTGGTTTGTTAGGCTTGAACTGGTAGAATTAGGCTAAGAAGCAGCAACATAAAAGGTTTTGGGGTTTCCCATTCAGCTAATGTAACTTCCAGCAATGACGATTCTATTGGATCTTCAGTAGTGGGACAACTCACGATAGAACAATACACTCAACTGCTGTCAATTTTGAACATTGATAGTGCCAATTCTTCGGCTAATTTGGCAGGTATATCTTTTTCATGCTCTTCATTTAGTTCACAGCCCATGTCTTGGATTATTCACACTGGTGCTTTAGAACACATAGTTCCTTCCACTTCCAATCTCCATTCCACTAAGCATATTATGTCACCCCAATTTGTTAATCTTCAAAATGGTGAAACCATTCAAGTATCTCACAAAGGGAGTAACCGAGGCTAAACCAAGCCCAACCCGAGTGTACTATTTAAAGTCCGGGTTATGCTTTGGTTGGTTTGGTTAGGCTTGAAAAGGTAGAATGAGACATTGTCTCGGGTTAAGCTCAGATACTTATAGTCCAATAATAATATAGGTTGGGTTTGGTGCACTCAAGTTGCTTAACATCTCTTCCAAGCCCCCCAAAACAAATTGAAGATGGGCCAAATTTATCTAAACCCAAAAAAAGGGAACTGCTCAAGCCCATCTAAAGCCGGGTTGGGCTCAATTGGATTCAGATTGGTTGATCCAGGTTGAACCCCGTTCAGACAATTTCGTAGGATATATTATGGTACATATATATACACATCTAATCATAATTTACTTATTGTGTAATTAATCCTCAAGTCATAGATACCGAGGTGAAAAAAAAGTCCATTTATGAAAAATAATAATAACTATAAATGGGATAGCTAACTTCAATAATGGAAACAAATATTCTGGAAGATACTAGGTATGCCCAATAATACAAACAGCAACGACTAGCAAAATGACTGAAGGATAAATCTCATTTTGTCGTCCTCCATTTTTCATATTAATTACATGTCCAAAGAATCATTTGCATGTTTCTTCCATCTTTACATAAAAGAATGATGATACCGAGACAGCTTTGGACAAATATACTACTTTAAGCATTTTCTCAGCAGTTAAACAAGAAAAATAAAAAGGAATTGTGCTGTGAGAATTGCACTTGGAAATCATAAATATAAACAATTTCTGATTAGTCACCAATATCACCACTGCTTTTGTCAGCAAAAGGTAAGAAAAACAAGCTTCTACTTCTAAGCAGTCCAACCCAGTTACCCATAAGTCAATGCTGGAATGATTATTCGGGAAAAAAAAAATGATGGAAACCTTGTGTCTGAAATTCATGAGAGTTCCAAAGCTCTCTCTATATTTTTCTTATTCATGATTGATCACTTGATCTGTTAACTGTGTCTTGCAGGGAACTCCTTTCTCTCCACAACCAAGATTGCCAAAATCTGATGTCCCTGTTCCAGTAAGATTCACTGAATCTCAACGCTCTCTCTCTCTCTCTCTCTCTCTCTCACACACACACACACACACACTCTCTCTCTCTAAATTTGTTTTCAATGATGGATTAAATGTTTGTATTTACTCTTTCTTAGTTTTTCCCTCAAAAGGTTGGCCTAAACACTTGAAAAACCAATTAGCTTTAAACTTTCAAACTCTAGTTCAATAGTAACCATTTTGGAAACAAATGAGGTGGTAAATTTTTTAAATTAATCTTAACAACTTTTATTGATATGTTGATAATCCATCAATTTTTGGCATGTGATATTGTTGTTGATTGTGAATTAAATCGACTTTTTTGTGAATTCTGATGATATTGCATGGTGCACTTAGAGGAATGTAGAACTTCAACAAACAATTTTGTGCCAATTGTATCTATTTAGAAGTGAAATTGAGTTATTTCTTAAATTCAGATTCTTCTACAAAAAGTTGTTTGTTGAGTTAAACAGCTAAATTTGGCGAGCAAGAAATCTGAGTTGTTTGCTGAATAACTTCTTGGTTCTATGGGTTTATAATTTAAATTAAACCAAGGGCAATGTCTTCATACCACTCAATTACATGGTTGATGGATGACCCTGTTGAATCCTTTTTCTAGTGAATTAAAGGATTAAAGTAGATTTATATGAGTGCTTGTCAATAAAAATGTTGTTTTGTGGAGGTGAATGTGAAATATGTGTTAAGGAAAAGATCGATATACGCACAAACACCTAAAAAAGAGATCTTTATAAAATTTGTTTTTGACCTACACCTGTAGGCTAATTTTAGGGACCACTGTGTGGTGCAGTGATAAAATGTTTTAGCTCTCAAGCAGGAGAACGTATCCATGTAGAGAGTTCCCTAGACATATACCATGAAAATGTAATAATGCCAGAATGATTTTATAATTTCACCAAATACCAAAAGCGCACAGTTAATTTAGAATTTAAAGCAATTTTCAAGTTAAAATCAAATATCAATGTTCAGTCCTATAATCAAATTTAAATTCTGATATGATCATTTAAGATATGTTGGTTTGATTCAAAGGAATGCTCTTTTATATATTGTTCATATATACAATTTAGGATCAGGCAAATTAGCACCATGCAAATCGATTCACCAATCCTATTGTTTATTTTTTATAATTTTTACAGTATTTTCAGTTTTCAATTAAGCCAACGCAAGAGCACTCATGTTTTTGATCTCCTTCCCGGCCCGGAAGTTCACTTCTAGTAATTGCCTTCTACAGCTAGCACTTGGACTTGGAAGCAAGCTAAAGCTACACTGAATATGAATGAAAATGAACTAGTTACTAAGTAATAGAAATGAAGGATATGTTGGCTCGAAGACCTGTTGGTTAAAGCAAACTCTGAATACTCTATTTTTTTACTTTTGACAGACCAACTTTTGGCTTAACCGGTCCTCGTCACTACTAATTAGCTCCACAAGCTTCGGTTAAAGCAAACCTATGAGCCTACTTGGTTTAGTTTTTTGAGAACTGTTTTCTGTTTTCTGAAAACTGAAAATCAGAAACTGTACAAAAAACTGCTTGGTTGACAGTTTCTGATAAATGTTTTCTGAAAACTCAGTTAAAAAAATGCCTATTTTCATTAGCTCTCTTTTTTGTTGGGGAATGGGAAGTATTGTACATCTATAGAGGAGATAGATGGTTCTTTGGGCTCCTTGGGTCATTAGGGTCCCTTGTGGCCTTTGTGTAGTTTTTGAGCCGCATTCCCCTTTTGAAGGCTTTCTAATACACTTTTACTTATCTAAAAAAATGTTCTGAAAACAGTTTTCAGTTTTCTGAGTTCCTTGAGAATTGTTTTCTAAGTGGGAAACTTAGCAGACCCCATATTTCTTCCTTGATAACCCACTTTTCTTTGAAATGCAGCGGAGTTCCTTGAGAATTGTTTTCTGAGAGGCAAACTTAGCAGACCTTATATTTCTTCCTTGATAACCCACTTTTCTTTGAAATGCAGCAACACTGCTTACCAATGCAATAGAACATATTTTATCAGCAAACTCAAAGCCTACCAAACAAATCAGCATACTCACACCTCTATAACCAAATAAGTGCATGTGGGCATTGAGCGTGGAGGTGTCAGGGTGGTGTTTGATGTATTGAAAATATATATATATATGTATGTATGTTGAATGGTGAAAGGAAGTGTTTGGGACTTCAGACTTTCTTCCTTGTTTGTTAGTACGTGTTACCCATGGCTCACTCTCTTCTCGAACAACACAATTACCCAAGTGAATAAATATCTATTATAATATCAACTATTAAATGTCTATTAGCTACATTCCATACTAATTAGAATAAAATCATCCAACTAAGATAACTATTTGAATTCTACCTAATGTTACCAAAACATTTAGGGGGGGAAACAAAACAAAAGAAATCACAAATAACAAATATAAATGAAGTATAGAATTGACAAACCAAAGCGAGAAAATTTTAATAAAATCCATAAACCCAATAGAATTCTCATTCCAAAAGTGGAATTGAACTAAAAATTCCTCCAATTAAATCAAGGGAACCCCAAAAGTACTCACTTGATGAGCCCATCTTCAAGAACTGACTGCTCTTCAGCATTCCAATCCGTCGATATAGCCAAGTAGGGATTCATAGAAGCAACCTTGCCCGACTTATCCGGCGGCGCCGGAACCGGATAATCATTGATGGGGCCGTTGAAGGCCGAGGAGGGGCCGTGACTCGGCTGAGACGGCTCATGATTTGTCCCGGATGGGTTAGCCATCAATACATATATGTATACCTATATATAACCAATACCCACCTCTCAAGAATCTCAGGATCGACTGTTGATTCCCGCCAAATTTGCCAGTCACACAATTGGAAACCCAAATCGGAATTCAAACTATTGGAAGTTCCGTTTGTGTTTCCATATATATATATATATATATATATATGTATGTATATATATATATATGTATGTATGTATGTATGTATGTATGTACGTACGTACTTATGTATATGTGTGTGTATCTGTGTGATAGATGAAGGCAAGCTCTTGACGCACAATATGAAATGCTAGAGAGAGAAAGGAGAAGGGGGAGGATGTGGGAATCGCAGAGAGGTAGTGACTTGTGAAGGTTTATTAATGTCGTTTGGTTTCACTTTAATACATACCTATCCTCTGTGTGCCTGACGTGTGTATGTATATATACTGTATACTTGATTTATGAGACCGTTGGGCCCATCATACTTTGGACAGTCGGACTCTAATCCAATCATGTTGAAGCTTTGAAGTAAGTTGTGTTCTGGGTCGAGCGATCAAGCCCACAGAATTGGTACCTTGGAGACCAAACCACAAAACGTCTTCCCCAACCAAGAAATTATTACGTCACCCGGAACATTGATCCGACCAAATACTATTGGACAAATTAAAAAAAAAAAAGATCAACAACACACATTTGTATATTTGTCACATAGTGATTAGTTTGGAATTAATAGTCTTCAAGCATATGTAATAATTTATCCAAAAATTGAGATAAGTTTAGAAAAATTATTACATGATTTAGGATTATTAGGATTATTAGTCTGGCCAATCACAAAGCGCACATTATTAATTACACTATAATTATTTCAATAGATATATCTTATGTGTTCGTGTTTAATTATTTTTTGATTACTCATCAGTCATCACTAGTTCAGAGTATTAAAATTTTTCTTAACTAGTGAGGCTGGTTATTCATCTTTTGTTGATGCATCGACACCCGTCTCACATGCCAATCACTATTATCACAAAATAACACCTACAAAATCATTAAAATGTTTGGTTCAATTTTTCAAGAACTAAAATTAAATAAATAAAAATGTTAAAAAGAAGAATAAAATCGATTGATAATTTCAAAACTGTTTTTCTCAAAAAAAAAAAAAAAAAAAAAAAAAAAAAAACAAAACACTCACACACACAAAAACACAAACACCAAACACACAACACAAACACACAAAAACAAACCCAACACAAGCACAATACAACACAACACAACACAACACAACACAACACAAAAACACACACACAAACACAAACACAACCCACAACAAAATACAACATAACACAACCAACACAAACACAACAACAAATCACAACCCATAACAAAACACAACACAACACAAACACAAACACAAACACAACATAACAACACAACAACAAAACACAAACACAAACAAAAACACAAAAATAAACCTAACACAATACAACACAAGCACAAACACAAAACAAAACACAACATAACAAAATACAAACACAAACATATACACAACACTACATAATATAACATAACACAAACAGAAACAGAAACATAAACAACACAACACATTACAACACCACACAACACCAACACCAACACAAACACAACACAACACAACAAACACAAACGCAAACGCAAATACAACACAACAACGAACACAACAAACACAAACACAAAACACGCAAAACATAACAAACAACACAACCCAACGCAACGCAACAAACACAAACACAAACACAAACACAACAACAACAACACAACACAACTTAAACACAAACACAACACAAACAATACAACACATCACAACACCACACAACCACAAAACACAAACACTTGACACAACACACAACACAACACAACACAAATACAAACACAATCACAAACACACACAACATAACACAACAATCACAAAATACAAACACAGACACAAACACAAATGCAACACAACACCACACCAACCACAACTACAACCACAGCATAACACAACCACGATAAACACATGACACGAGAAACGAAAATAAGAACAAACCAAAAAAAGAAAATAAATAAATAATATTAATAATAATAATAATAAACAAATCCTAACAACAACAACAACAATAATAATAATAAATAACAAAAAATCCTAACAATAATAAATAATGACAAGAAAACCTTAACAATAAATAATAATATAAAACTTAACAAAATTTAAAATTACAAAAGCCCTAGCAACAAACACAACACAAATACAATACATTAAGGTTTGTGATAAATAAAAATAATAACTTTTTTTAAAATAAAATTCAATCACCCTCTCTGATTTTCTTACTTATCACTATGCCGACCTTATGGGCAGGTATGTGTGAGCGTGTGCAGGTGGCACCAATAGGATGGACGAACTACAAGTGCACAATCTTACATCATCTGGATGTGGAATGGGCTAGTGCTATATATAGATTCAACACCCTTATATGATATAACACGTTTTATATGTGCATTTGTGATTGAACCACATCAGCAGTCAGTAGAATGCCCTACTCACCGGTGAGTAGGCAAGTCTTGTCATTTATATACAAATAGTGTAATTGCATCATAGGTGAGCCCATAATCTTCCTCCTACAAAAGTAATGCTACTAAAAATAAATACGCATCATCTATTGCCACATCAGTCGATAATTGGTATCTGCTACGGATTGATGTGACAATAGATGATTGATATAAATATGAAATTCTATTCTTTTTAGTATTCTAAATGTTTAGTGAACTTTTTTTTTATTATTATTAAAATTCACACTACACTCAGAGTATAGTTAATAAGGGCCCGTTTGGTAAGTGTTGTGTTTTGTAGTGTTTTGTTTTAACGTAGAATAGAAAAAGTGTTTTGTGATGTGGTGTTCTAAAATGAGAACAAAACATGTTTGGCGACGAAAATTTGTAGTGAAAATCTTGGAATAGAAATTAATTTTTTTTTTTTTAGATGATTAAAATTAATTAATTACAGAGCTAGATTAGCTTGCAAAACAAGAATTACAGAGCTTGATTAGTTGATTTAGAAAGAAAAAAAAAATTAAAACAAAACCCATACACACAGGTTAGCAGTTGCAGAGAGAGAGAGATTGAGGGGGCACGCTTGAGAGTTGAAAGAGTGACTGAAGCTTGCGAACGGCGAACCAGAACTGGAACAGCAGCCGATGGAAACTGCAAGCTATGGGTTTTGATTTTTTGAACAATCTGAAATGATTTGCCGATATGGGGGTTTTGATAAAGGTAATAGGTTTTGAATTTTTGATTCTTGCAGACAAATACATAAACTAATTTTTAGGAAAAATATTACCTAAATTATAGAGAAGCTACTGCTATACCTGAGACTTCACGAATAACAAGAGGAGAACAAAGCCCTAAAAAGCAGACTCTGTCAACGGCATAAATTAGAGAGAGCAAGTGAAGAGATGCTAGAGAGAGATTGAGATTTAGAGAGAGAGAGATTGAGATTTAGAGATTTTATGTTGAGAGATACAAAAACTGAAATATATGGGTTTTGAACTTCTGATTCTTGTAGATTTTGTAGTTTGCAGTTGTAGAGAGAGAAAGAGGGGGGGGAGTTGAGAACGAGAATAGAGATGGAGACGGGTTTTGAACTTCTAATCCTTGTAGATTTTGTGTTTGCAGTTGCAGAGAGAGAGAGAGGGAGCAAGTTCCAAAGTTGAGAACGAGAATATAGATGGAGGTGATTGGGAGGCTGAAATGATTTGTCCTAAAAAAAATTTATTATTATCCCAGTTACAGTGAAAAAAAAAGGGACCTTGGAACAACATAAAATACAAAATTATTGTTCCAGCCTTTGGGCCAAATATTGAAAGTGTACTGCTACTGTTAGGAACAAAACAAGACGGGCCACTGTAGTGGCCTCAAAATGAGCTACTGTAGTGACCTGGGAGCATTACACAACACTTGGGAATACTTCCCAAACATGCCCCAAGGAAATATGACAATCCACTTCGCGCGCCCTCAATTTTATCCCTATTCATGGCATGAGCCTTCATAAAGTAAAGTAGTATATATACTTGAAAATAAAAGTTGATGATTTGGTCTACTGGTTAATTTCACTTGGATGATATGTTTATTCATCAACCACATTAAGGTCAACTGTAGTTTTTTTTTTTTTTTCTTTTTAATAAAGTTGATGATTGCTTAAAATCTTCCATCTTTTTTTATTATCTATATGGACTAATCTAGACCTGTAAGTATTAACTGGAAACACCCTGCATAAGAAATATATATATATATATATATATATATATATATATATATATATATATATATCTTATTCTTTTAAAGTGAAAAACTTAATGGGAATGAAAAGTAATCCACTATTAAAGAAATAATGTCACGTGACTCCACATTCACATATTTATTGGGACAATTGCAGAAAATACTCCTAAAGTATACTATGCGTAACACTTTTACCTCCTATTTGAAAAAGTGTGCAAAAAATACCCCTAATCTTTTCACATTATGCAAAAATACCTCTTTGATATAAATTAGTGTTGCAATACATGTTTTACCCTTTTACTCTTCCGAAAATGCCCAAGAGGTATATATGCTACTAATCTCATAGTATAAGGGTGTTATATGCACATTACCTTATTTTTTTTTTTATAAAAAAATAAAATAAAATAAATAAATAAATAACTTTTTCTCTATATATATCTCTAAACTTTTTTTTTTGAAACTTTGAGAATTCGTAGAATACAGATTTGAATTTTTTGATATTTCAATTTATTGTTTTCTACCATTTCTTTTTCTTTATTTTATTTTTTTCGTACAAACACTGTTAAACAAAGGGAAAAAAGAAAATGAAAAAAATCCAAATATCAGTGTGCACTGGTTTTCGGAGTTTGGAAAGATTTATTTTCTTTAGTTTGCAGTTTATTTTCGTTTTTTATTTTTTATTTTTATCTTTACTTTTCTTTTATACTTTTATCTTTATTTTCTATTTTTATCTTTATTTGTCCATTGAAAGCATCTTCCAATAATGTCATTTTCGGTCATTTTACAAAATTCTATATTTTTATATATTTTATAAAATTATTCAGTAAAAGTAATTTAATCAACTTAGGATTTAAATTTGTTACAGTGACTTATTTGCACCAAATTCAAACTTAAGAGGTATTTTTTGCACGTGAGAGGCGTCCTCTAATAGTATCATTTTCAGTCATTTTACAAAAATATTTATTTTTATATAGTTTATAAAATGGTTCAGTAAGGGTAATTTAATCAACTTAGAGTTTAAATTTGTCAGAGGATCTATTTGTACCAAAATAAAACTTTAGGGGTATTTTTTGCACATGAACTGTGTGATATGCACTATAAATATATTTTAAGGGTG